CTGCGGAGGGAGATGGGTCGGGTGCTTCTGGCTTAGGCGACCCAGCCACCTGCAAAAGGTGTGGCCCTGTGGGTTTGGAAGGTGCAGAGGGCCTCGGGTTGCCTGGGTGAGGCTACCTGTGAATTGCCTTGGGAAGACCAAATAAACGCAATGGATTCGGCCATGTGGATGCAGCTCACGTTTCTGCAAAGTTGAGAGAGTAAATCACGACTGCTGTGCATTTATGCACGAATAAAATGACACAGGGCTTTTTGCCCCTTTGCTTTGTAGAATGCTTTCTCCTTGCACACAGTGGGCGCGTGATAAGCCTTCAGTGCCTGTTTAGAGTGGGATTTGATGGACTGTCCAGAATGGACATGAAAATTGTCATGAAATCATGAAAATGGCTTGCAAAATACCATGAAAGCAGAATTCTGATGAGTAATTGTCAGGCTTTGAAGTTTTCAAAGTTTCAAAATATCTCCTTAATAACTTTCCCCATCTCTTCCGATAAAAGTGAGATAAAGGGGGTAGGCTCTCAAGTGTTGGTGGTCTTAGAAGTGGTTTGATAGGGTAGCAAACCTGCTGATTCATATCATGCCTGCGTAGTCATAACTAAAAGTGCTCCACGTATAAAGTAAGTCTCTCTTCGTGCCTTAAACTCTAGCGATGCAGTTTCAAGAGAGATTTTCCTAGTTCGCTGTACTGCTCTTCCTCGTTAAGCTAGATGTGGAGGATAAATGTAAATAACAGAAATTCATAAATACACATTATGTAAGTATGTGTGGATGGTAGCCCTGACCTACAGAACACTCTTGGCGTGTCCCATCCATTTCATCAGTTATATCAGGATAAACAAAAGTTCATGTAAGTCAAGTCATAATTGTACCTGTTTGCCTACCTACTTAAACTACTAGCTGACTAAAAGACAATATAAATATTTAATTGTTAACATTAACGCGAATTAAACACAATTATTTCTTTTGAATTAACTTGCAATCAGATGATTTAGACGAACAATTGGTAAATCGCAAGTCTCTTTCTTGAGTTGGCAGATATTGTCCCAGTGTTGTGCAGACACCTTTTAGGAGGGTCAAGGGTTTATGAGTTTTCTGAAGCTAAGCTTTTAAGTGATGACGTCTTACTCCCAAAGGGCTAATATTTTTCTTTTAATGGTGAAAGTATTGAAAACTTAAGTTTAAATTATTTGGCAGAGATAACAATTATTATGCTTGGGAAGTAGTCTGATCCAGCAAAGTTTTTGAAAAATAGATGTTAAAATGAGCAAAGCCTTGAATCCAAAGCTTGAAGTGTTCCCCGGGAACAGCTGTGCGCTGCAGATGAGAAGAGGCCCTTACCTTAAAAGGGCAGCCAGCCATACAGACAGAGATGGGAACTGATCTCACAAAGAATAATAACATCTGGATTAGTTGGTACTGTATGACTATGCGTTGAGGGAAGAAGCAAGAGTAAAAACACAAAAGTATTCATGAAAGCTCTACATTTTTATTATTTATTGTGATTTTTCTCTGTATACTTTTGGAGATAATGAGATTTCTAATAAACAATTGCTTTACTGATTTAATGTCCACATTAAAGATTCATGAAAAGACCCAAGATGTGCATGTTATTTTACTTTCATCCAAGGTTCTTATTTAGTCTTGTATATAACCTTGAGAGGGTTAGAGATATGACCCTTTTTGACCTGTTACCATTCAATCACTAGTCAAGAGCACTGACAGAATTTTCAAATCCTATAGTTTCACTGTAACTATTGTTTATCATTCAAATCGCTACATTAAGTTGTGAATGACAGTTTTTCTTATAAATGTATACTTCACTGCATTTTTATATTCATGGTGATTCTGATGGTTGAGCTGATAGCTTCACCTTCAGAACATACTTGCTTCACCATGCAGTTCCATCTGCAGCTCGTTTTTGCCTCTTCCCATTTCTAGTGCGGAACGAGGGCCTGTGGCTTCAAAGACAAAAAAAGGGGGGGGATGCTTTCCCTAGTCTTTGTCTTAAGCAGTTTTTCTTCTCCTTAAAGATGTTATACCTGTTGTGATTTGCTTTCTGCTGTTATCCTTTCATCTTCCTGTTAGTTCGGTTCTGGAGTGAGTTCCCATCTCAATGAACAGCCCAAGTATTCTAAGCCAAAGCCCTCTCACACCCACTCACTGCATTGCCACCGGGGGAACTGTGAAGAGCCGCTCTCCCAGCTCTGCTATCAGTTCACACACAGCCCGGCTGCCGTTTCCTGGAGACCAGAGAAGTTTGCTCTTGGTGAGTGGGTACTCAAGTTTGTAGAAACACTCTTGGTGTGACCGTCGTAAGTAGGTGAGATTAAACTGGCAACGAGGAAGCTTAGAAACAAGGAGAATACTAAAATTAGCAATGAAGGTCACGCCCCAGACTTCTGAATGAACACTTGTATCACGGCTGTGAAATCTTTTGGCTTTGGGACTCAGAAAGCAACTGTAATAATAAGAATCCTTACTTAGCTGATTTCATCTTTGGGTACATTTGTGAAACTACAGTTGCATTTTCAATTTATTTATGTGATAACATAGCCCTTGCTTTTCTGCCGGGGACAGCTCTAAGTACTTGGGGGGTTTTTTTTGTGGTTGGTTTTGGTTTGGTTTTGGTTTTTTTTGGTGAAGGAAAACCAAAACCAAAATAGTAGATTTGAGGGTCTCTTAAATGCTAGTGAAGGGAGATGAACAATAATTTAAGCAAATGATAGCGTGTATTGAAAGGTAATTAATGATACTGAAAGAAAGTTAGAATAAGGTACAGTAGATTGGAGTAGTGAGTGCTGGAATTTTAGAGAAATTGGTCAGAATAGGCCCAAGAACCTATTTCAGGGTCTTGAAAGAGATGATGTCAGTGGGAGCCAGGAGGTCCAGACAGGGGAGAGAAGACATTTCCTAGGTCTCAAGACAGGACCATGCCCTTGGAAGAGAGACTCAGGTATCTGACCCAATTTAGCTCTTTAACAACAGTGAACTAACTGATCTTTGAAGACTTCCCCTGGATAGTAAGAGCCTTTCCTTAGCTGACATTTATGCATTTTCCATCATGTGGCCGGAGTCTTGTTCACAAGAAGTAGCTTTCCCTAGCCAGAACTGGTGTTCCTAGGCCTAGCCTGTATCTCTAGACTTGATAATCTTACTTGTTTTCCTCCACAGTCAAGGTTGTAAATGTACAGGTGCTCCATTTCATGGTGTGGCTATATAGGCTATCTATTAAGTCCAAGTTTCTGAAAAGAAACATAAAGGTAATTCCTGTCAACAACGTAGATAGTTTCCCAGAGATGAGTCAGTAAATGTTACAGTTTAAATATAAAGTGTTTCCTATAGGTTCATGAGTTTGAATATTTGATCCGCAAATGGTAGTAAGTTATAGAAGGCTGGGTAACCTTAAGATAGAGGCCCTGGCTGGAGGAAGTGGGTCACTGGGAAAAGAGGGTCCTTGAGTCCTGCCCCACTTCCTGTCTGTGGTCTCCTTCTGGATTGTTGATGCACTGTGACCAGCTATATCACTTCTTGCCACCATACCAGCGTGCACCCTCATACCTTGAGCCAAAATAAATGTTTTTGTAAGTTCTTCTTGTCAGGTTTTCTGTGACAGTGATGGGAAAAGTTACTTCGACAGGAAGTTGACACTGAGAAGTGAGGTGGTTGCTGTAATAAATTAGACCCTAGAAGCCGTTGGAACTGGTTTGCAGGAGGGATGGGGAAGAGTCTGGAGCTTCAGGCTGGGAAGAGCCAGTACACTGTAAGTAGAGCTTACTGAGCTTACTGTTTGAAGAACAGAATGCTGAGCGAGAGAGATCTGGTCAGTAGAGGCCTAACTCATGATGTCTCAGAAGGGGAACAAACACTACATCAAGACCAGGACCACAGGCCATCGGTATTATCTACTAGTAAAAACTCTGTCTTTCTTCTGTTCATATCCTGGGAACTTAGTGAGGCTGAATTCAAAGGTGATGAACTAATTTGTTTGAACTAACTGGAAATTTCAAGGCAAAATGGCATTTAGGATGTGGCATGGTTACTACTCACTACCCTTAATCAAGGCTTACAATTTAAAAGAGCAGCAGAAGGACACTTTTCAGTCTAGTTTACTGAGGCAAAGAGCATGACCAGATTTAAGGTCGCAGACAAGGCAGCTGCTGAAAAAGCACTTGTATTTATAAAGGAGATGAACACCATCAAAGAGAAACTTGCCATTCTGCACTGACACAACAGGAAGGTACCCTGAAGACAACCCCCTCCTAGTTAAGGCTCCTTCTAGTGAAAATGCAAAAATCATTTGAGAGTGCTACTACAGGGCTTCCCTGCCTGGAAGCAACTGTCTGGGAAAATATTTGCAAATTCAGCAATCAAGATGACAGCAGAACTTGGCAGTGTACTCCACATTACTGATATTGCAGGCTTGAAAGATTTAAAGAGTAAGGGATTTGGGGAGGAAGACTATTATATAGGTTTTTGCCAAGACTGGAGAGCTGCTGATGACAGGCAGTGTGTGGAAGAATTGGCTTCTCTGTAATGAGGCCTGGGAGGCCATTGCATGAAGCTGTGCAAATGAACTCAAGTTGCAGTGGAGACTCCAGGAAATTCCAGAGCCATGACGTCAGTCCACTGACGAAGGACTCAAGTGGCAAAGCTGGCAGGGCTACTTAGGCCTCTGGAGTCCAGATGATTTCATCATGAGTACCAAATGCCAGATATGGAGCTGAAGGGTTTGGTGTTTTCCCTGTTAGCTTTTGGTCTTGCTTTGGTTTGCTCTTTCCCTAGTGTGCTCTTGTTCCTCCCTGTTAGGATGGAAGTGTTTATGCCGTTGTGTGTTGAAAGTATGTAGCTTGTTTTTTGATACCATGGACACAGAGTTACGATAATTACCTCTAGAGACTTCGGTTTGAAACAGTGTTGGGACATTTTTAGGTTTTTTTTTTTATTAATGTGTATATGTGTATATCTTTGTGAGTGAATAACACATGTGTACGGGCTCCCAGGTGAGAAGAGAGTGTCACAAGTGATAGCGAGCCATCAGATGTGAGTGCTGGTAACAAACTCAGGCCTTCTGGAAAAGCAGCACATGTTCATAACTGCTGAGCCTTCTCTCCAGTCTTTCTCTCTTTTCAGAGTGTTCCTGTTCGTTTAGCCATTTATCATGCATTTGCCATTTCTGTATTTTCTGGGAGCTGAACTAGGGCCTCATGTATCCTAGTCAAGAACTTTACCGCCAAACTCTACTCTACTCCCCTCTCATTGCTGAGACTCTTAAAGGCTACAGAGACTTGTGAAGCTGGAGCACATGCATTTTGCATTATGAGATGACTAGGACTCTGTGGGAAATGGGATAGACAGGATGTTGTAGTTTGAGGTGACATCCTTTCTGAGAAGCTCCTGTTAGCCTCACAAGGTTGTAGAACCTCTAGGATGTGGAGCCTTGCTGAAGAAAGTGGTTCACCAACAGTGGCCTTGGGGTTTTATAGACCAGTGCCCTTTCCAGTCTGCTGCCTGTTTGCTGATGCTGACACGTGTGACCAGCCACCTTAGACTCCGGCCACCATGCCCCCTGCACCATGATGAATTGTCTCCTCAAACTGTGAGCCATTAGGCCCTTTCCCCATTAGTTGTTTCTTGCCAGGTATTTGGTCACAGCACCAACAGCTAACCAATGCGGCAAGTGCTTGCAGTGTCAAAGAGGCATGCTAGTGGAGCGGGAGGTTACGCAATGTGTGCAGGCCTGTAGCCCTACTTCCCAGCCAAGTGAAGTGAAGCACAAAGATAGAACTTCCCTGTGGTTTCACGGCTGGTAAGTATGACAATTTTAATTCTGGATAGATATGCAAAGCTGAGTCTGAAACATTTGACTGTCTTCTTCCTGTGTCCGTTCCTGTACAGCTAACTGGTCTGTTTCCCTAGAATTTAACTGAACTAGAGCACCATTGTGAATCCTGCCTTCTTGAAATTGGTCATACACACCTCTGCAGCTTGTCACCCTCTGACTGTGGACAGCTTGTCACTCTCTGACATATGTATACTGTGTCTTTTCTATAAAATGAAGATAATAAAAACATCTGCCTTATATAAAGTGTTAATGAGGACTAAATGAGATTATATTGGTAAAAGACTCATCTCCAGTATTAAATTATCTGCATCAATCAATTTCTTGCCATTTGTGTATTTCCTAAATAATATGTTTGTAGTCCTCATAGGAAAGTCACCAGAGGTTAATGATAAAGGTGTATCCACCTATCCGCGGTGCTGTTTTGGACACTTTAACTTTGATGTAATTCTTGAGGCCATGCTGGAGAGGCTGAGCCTGGGAGGCAGCCTCTGTGCCTTCTGATTTGCATTGCAGCCTTTGGCCACATTTACTTCTGTGTGGCCAGAAGTACTTCAGGTGCTGGCAAGGGCCTTAGCCACTGTGGACTAGGAAAGTGGTGTCGAGGCCAGCGGCTTACAGCATGGCCTTTTCCTTGGCCTGAATGTGTTTGAAAAGACCAGGACTAGAAAGAGGCACTGTGCCTGGCCTGTGGGCACATTCCCCTGATGAGCTTTCCTGTAGGGAGAAGGGATGACTGGAGATATTAATAACCTGAAGGCTGGCTGCTGCCTTCCTGCTTTCTCTGCACCCTGTGGCTTGGCAGCAAGACTCTGGGTAACAGAGCTGACAGATCTGAAGTGCGCACCTTCTCACTGGCAACGACCGTACCTGATATAGGAGCCCCCTACTACAACTCTTTACTGTATCTCAAAACACTGTCTTTAATATTTTTTACCCCTGTTCATTTCTCATCTAGAGTCAAATCAACCTGTATGAAACATCCCTATCGAACATGCTCTTTAGTAAATTCACCAATAAACACGGCTTCCCTTTAGTGTACAGTTTCTGACATGTAACCCAAGTATAGCTTCCAGTGCTCTGCTTTCGGCTGATTGATGAACAAAAGCCTCCATAGAGGAGGTTTTCTTCGGAGTCCTAGATGCTGTAGACCTCTCCTGTGTAGACAGTTTTAGAAATGCAAACTGACAGCTGTTTTCAGAATCTGATTCTTGCCATTGATGACAGGGAGGAGGCCTCAAGGCTAACGTGGGCTGGAGACACTCAGAGGGATTTTCCAGGGATCGTCTGGAAGCCAAAGGCTGTCTGTTTTAGACCAGTATCAGAGGCAGGAGCAACACTCCTAAACCATGGGAACAATCCTCTTTTCTAGTCTTTGTTCTGTATCTTCTCTCTATATTTCTCTTTCACCCCATTGATCTTTGCCT